CCGCGCCCGCCCCGCTTCGATTCCACCTGTCTTTGTCTATTTACTTTGGCGCGGAGATGTTTTTGCACGCACGTGCACAGCGCGGCGCAACGGGGCCAGCAGCAGCGTTTCAATTCAGCCTAGCCGCGATGCCATTTGAATAATGGTATCATTAATCCCTTAGCGGCGAAGTGCTGCACGTACTTGATGCGCCGCGCCGCACTAGCGGCGCGTCATCGCGACGCCGACGATTCCCACGATCGAATTATCGAATTATCGAGCGCGACGTAATTCCGAAGACACTCCGGCGCGGGCTCGTAATGAGCAGACACGGCTGGATACCGAACGAGGGAACGTATCGCGGCTCTTCCTCCACCTCCGTCCGCCATTAGCACGCAAATCGGCCCTCGAGACGCACGACGTGCTCGGTTGAAAGCGCGCAAAGGACTCGCGATCGTGTCAAATCGGTCGGTTATCGGGCAAATCGATTTCATCCTGTTTTAGAGAGCTTTCCTTCAATGCTGCGTCGCTGAGATGCTTGATCGAGCAGTAAGTTTTTCTGCTTGAAACGTGTTTTCTTATTGTTCGGCTTGACAGCGCGGAATAAAGACTTCCGCTCGAGTGGAAATCTCTAATGACAATGAGGATTATTTGAAAGATATCGCGTTTTACGCGTTTCGCGTGTGCGTCGGACTAATGGTACAACCGTAGTAATTGAATAAAATGCGTTCGTTGCGTAATGATTACTCGAATATTTTCTGCGCTCACCAATGCAGAACGTTCGCCGCTTGTAAAACCGAGGGATCGGTGGTTAATATCGATTATCGTAGGAACCGGGTCTCACGGGTAACGAAGCCGGAAGGCGTAACTCTATAAAGACTTAATTGAACTGCGAACCAGATTGCGGATGTTTATACGGACGTTTATGTAAAAAAACACTCGGGGGAAACTTGATTTCCTGAAGTGGGCGGGCGTGGAACGTAAATTATGATATTTTTATGAAAATTTTATGAAATTCGAAGCTTCAAAGGTCGATTCACGTGGAAAAGAACCCTCGTATTTCCTTAAAAGTCTCGGATATCCTTAAACATCCGTGCCCTAGTTTTTGCTTCCATTAAATTTCCTCGGAGCACACAACATTCCCTTTCTTCGTTAATTCGGGATCCAGTTTCCACGATTTTCCACTGGTAGCTTGTTAACTCATAGCACCGACGATTCTAAAGACCGTGCAGACGATCTGTGCTCGCGAGGACCGATAACTTTAACTACACGAGTAATTAGAATTTCTATTTTCTTTGTCGTTCCCTTCTCATCGTTAAATTACAGTCACTTGATTCTCTCGAGGATTACCGGTGAACACCTCGGCCCGTATTCGACGCGTTAACGATAAAATCGTATAGCTGAAAGCAACGTTAAAATCGGATTCAACGAATGCTGAGCACAATGTATATCTTACGATGCATTTTTGTTCGTCGAACAATCGAGCAAGTATCGGTATACCCTGAAAACGTGGCGCGGCTCTTGAAACGATCGCATTCGCGCGTTAAGCCGCGGCGTGAAGCCAGAAATCCGCGAGATTGTAATTTTATCCGCGGAGCTTATTGAATCGATGACGTAATAAAGATCCGGCCGCGGGGATATCGATGATGCGGCGTTAATTCGGGGCCGATTCGCGACACCGCGAGCAATTTCGCGGCGGTCGGGCTTCCCCGCTAATTCGCCATTCGTTCGGATCGCGTTGTGGCCGCGATTGCATTCGTTAACGCAGAAATCCGTTTTCGATCGCGCGGCGATCGCCGGCCGCCGCTATCGGGACCGCCTTTCGGCCTAGATAAATAACGAGTCGCGGGGATTGTCGTCGCCGGCGCCGCGCCGCTGAAAAATTAATTAAATTTATTTCGCAGCCGTTACGCGTGACCCGTCCGACCGGCTTTTTAATTAAAATTACCGCCGGATCCCTTGATTAATGTCGTTACAACCGGGAACACGGGATTCCCGATCCGTGTAACCGTGCTTCGAAACGCGTCGGCGAACGTTTGTCGGGAAGCCTAACGTCCGACGATGCGTTTGCGTCTCGGACGAACACGCTAGCCAAAGGAATGCGGTTCCGACTGCTCACTTTCCATACTAATACGCTATTCGATAATACGGTTACGGGTAAACGACCGAAACTAAAAACAAAACGAAAGACTCATCTTGTCCCTGCACGATGACCCAGCATTCTCGCCCGAGACGTATAATATCCACAGATGAAAAGTGCATTGGACAACAGGTTTTCTTATTGGCCTAGTCGAGTAACGCGGCACGCGTCAAAGAAAAATATAAATAACACACCGACGCCCGCGTTCGTTTCGTTTCACTTACGTTCTTCGTTCCGCAATTTCACCGTCGATAAAAACGTATGAAATGCAAGCATTCGCACGCTTCTCCTTGCTCCCGTACGCGTCTAGCTTGCAGGCACTCGGCGCAGATGTGACAGGCGCAACGTTCATCGTTCATCGTTCTATTTTTTATTCGTTTTCCATTGGCCGTCAGAACGGAGCGCAGACCTCGACAAGCAACGCTTTCCATTGATAACCGAACACCGGTATTTTCGGCCAGCGGCGATTCGATTCCAGATCGTTCCGCGGACTCGAGACAATTCCACGCGGTAATGCCGTTTTTCCCTTCTTTTTCCTCCTCTCCCTCTCTCTCCCTCTCTCTTTCGGT